TCGATTCTGCAGTGAAGGATGCTATAATTGGCATTTGGACCATTGGATGAAATCAGCTGGCTTTCGCGGGCACTTTGCTTTACAAGCATTGCTGAGCAACATACAAGTATTGATTGAATACTGTGAGGAGCAGGCGGGCCTGTAGAGTGATCCAGTTCAAAAGATCTGTTGGAAGAAACTAAGGCATCGTCATTTTAAAAAATGCACTGATTGTTTTTGATAAATTTTTGGTGAACTTGCTGAATTCTGCAAGCTGCTACAAAGAAAAAATCTTACGACCATCGAGGCACACCAGTTTGTAAAAGCAAGATAGCTAAGCTCCGTGCCCAGTACCTAGGTGAAAATGTTAAGAAGTCTGAAGAGGTTGCTGAATTTCTTGCAAATGGCGAGGATATGAACCTGATTTCCATCCTGAAATTCGTTGAGTGTTTATGTTTGCACCTGGACTCTCGTTTCTCTGGAAGTGAGTTAGTTGACGCAATGGATCATCTTTGAGATATCAGCGTTAATCGATACTTTATCACAGGAACCAGCGAACCTTAGAGGGAACATTGGCTGTTACTAGTGTATGCCCCAGCTCCCCTATTTACTCCAACGTATATGATTTTACAACAGTCTTTGTTTCATTGGGATAACGGCTATTTTTTTTATTCTTGCAACCCACTTGGCTCTAACCATTGTTCCCATCCCACGCCAACAGATGACTGTTGCCAGAGGCGATTGATGTCCTTCTCAATGGAAACGCTGTCAGCTAAGAATGCCAGCGTTCATCAATACACGGATTATTCAAACATACCCCAGAACTCCTTCACGATCCTTTCACCTGAGCCCAAGGAGCCCGTGACAACGTTCATCATCAAAGCCCACAACGAATGGCAAGGCTGTGTCATTCTAAGTCTATGTGAAGTGGAGCTCTACGGGGGTCAGTATGGCTGGATAGTGTGTAGTTAGGCCGACCTTTAGAGTAGTCTACAGGGTCCATTATAACTAGATGGTGACAATGTGAGTGGAGCTCTATGGGGATTAGTGTAATATAGATTAGCGTGTAGGTCAGTGGGCCTCTATAGTTTATAGGGTCCATTATAACTAGATGCTGACAAGGGGAGTGGAGCTCTATGGGGGGCTAGTATAACTATATTAGTGTGCAGGTCAGTGGGCCTCTATAGTTTATAGGGTCCATTATAACTAGATGGTGACAAGGAGAGTGGAGCTCTATGGGGGGGGGGGGCAAGTATCACCAGATGGTCAATAGGTCAGGTTTCCTAAATTTTCTATATTCTACACCATTATATATATTAGTGTGCAGGTCAGTGGGCCTCTATAGTTTATAGGGTCCATTATAACTAGATGGTGACAAGGAGAGTGGAGCTCTATGGGGGGGGGGGGCAAGTATCACCAGATGGTCACTAGGTCAGGTTTCCTAAATTTTCTATATTCTACACAATTATGAATTATGATTTACCTGATATCTGACCCCAGTCACTTCATGCCCACCGGGAAAATTAGTTATCTGATGTCTGTTCTCAGATACTGCATGCCCACCTGGCAAGTTTGATACCTGATATCTGTCCCCAGACTCTGCGTGCCCACCTGGAAAGTACGGCTTTGAGTGTAATGAGACCTGTAACTGTGCTATAAAAGATGATGAGTGTTTTGTTAGTACAGGAACTTGTGCATCGGGATGTGCTGCTGGTTACTATGGATATGGGTGTAAACAAGGTAAACAATATTTCATTCTGAAGAAATATAACTTTGTGCTACCGCTGCTTACATGACCTGGCGCCGTCCTATCTGAAAGAGCTGCTGAAGCCTTATGTACCCACTAGAGAGCTCCGCTCATCCGATAGTGGCAAACTCTCGACACCACGTGTTTGCCTTGAGACTTACGGAAAGCGCACTTTCACATTTGCTGTTCCAACAATAAGGAACGCCCTTCCTGTCCATCTCAGAAACAACCAGACACTGGAGTCCTTTAAAACCGATTTAAAGACACATCTATTTCGCAAACACCTTCTGGGATGATTGCCTACCTTATTTTCCAGTTAATGCATAATGGCAGTATTGCTTATGGTTGAAATGGCTAGAAAGACTTTGACATTGTATGATTGTAATTAGTTTTTGTAGTGTTGCGTTTGTTTTAAATGTGGTAAATTATAGATTTGTTTTTTGTTGACTTTGTACCACGCTTCGAGCCTTTGGGGATGAAGCGTGTTTTTGAAATGAACTTTATTATTATTATTATTATTATTACTTTTACAACATTGTTTTGGGAAACAAAATAAAACATTAAAAAAAAATAATAATACTTTTCATTTTCCATTAGAATAATTAAACTTTTGAAGATTTTTTTCCTGAAATGACATAGAATCTTTTCTCACATAATTGTGTATTGTTAAATGGCGTCACAAGACCGTAAACTGATAAACATATAAAAATATAAATATTAATTATTATTTTTGATAAATATCGAAAAATACGTGCTCAAAGAAAAAATCCAATCCATGATCGTCACGAAAAATCTATCCAATTTCCAGCATGCCCACCCCAGTTTTGGGGGGTCAACTGTCTGTCACGGTGTAGTGAGCGATGCTCTAAGTCAAGCTGTGACAGTGTGACAGGTCGATGTGAGAGTGGCTGTCAGTTAGGTTACAAGGCACCCGACTGCACGGAAGGTGAGTACATCAATCAAGCGCTTTTGTATAGGGTTAAAAGTGAATGCATTTTATACACTAACTTAATGAACGCAACCTTTCTGTGGCAGTGTTAAATGTTGATCTGGATTGTTTTTTTTTATATATCTAAAACAGGCCACGGTCCCAATTCTTTTTCGAAAACTCGACGCACTACTATACGATCTGATGAATGGTCAGGGTCACTCTTATGCACTACAACTCATTGTTCCTAGGTTTGTACCGAGTCAACAAGTCGATAAATTATTAAACTTAAAAAAAACAACTCTTCTTTCTTCCACCAGTTTGCAATCCTGGCAACTACGGAGCCAACTGCGCCCTGGCGTGTCCTGCCAACTGTGCCAATGGTACCTGCGACCACGTCAACGGTTCATGTGGTGAGTGTAAATTCAACGATCGTGGAAGAGAGAGAGAGAGAGAGAGAGAGAGAGAGAGAGAGAGAGAGAGAGAGAGAGAGAGAGAGAGAGAGAGAGAGAAAAGTGAGAGANATCTCTGTAGCGCTAGAGCCTTTGTAGGGCTTTGGCTTTCCTCACGTCTTTCTTCCATTTAGACTATTCATCCATCTCTGTAGCGCTAGAGCCTTTGTAGGGCTTTGGCTTTCCTCACGTCTTTCTTCCATTTAGACTATTCATCCATCTCTGTAGCGCTAGAGCCTTTGTAGGGCTTTGGCTTTCCTCACGTCTTTCTTCCATTTAGACTATTCATCCATCTCTGTAGCGCTAGAGCCTTTGTAGGGCTTTGGCTTTCCTCACGTCTTTCTTCCATTTAGACTATTCATCCATCTCTGTAGCGCTAGAGCCTTTGTAGGGCTTTGGCTTTCCTCACGTCTTTCTTCCATTTAGACTATTCATCCATCTCTGTAGCGCTAGAGCCTTTGTAGGGCTTTGGCTTTCCTCACGTCTTTCTTCCATTTAGACTATTCATCCATCTCTGTAGCGCTAGAGCCTTTGTAGGGCTTTGGCTTTCCTCACGTCTTTCTTCCATTTAGACTATTCATCCATCTCTGTAGCGCTAGAGCCTTTGTAGGGCTTTGGCTTTCCTCACGTCTTTCTTCCATTTAGACTATTCATCCATCTCTGTAGCGCTAGAGCCTTTGTAGGGCTTTGGCTTTCCTCACGTCTTTCTTCCATTTAGACTATTCATCCATCTCTGTAGCGCTAGAGCCTTTGTAGGGCTTTGGCTTTCCTCACGTCTTTCTTCCATTTAGACTATTCATCCATCTCTGTAGCGCTAGAGCCTTTGTAGGGCTTTGGCTTTCCTCACGTCTTTCTTCCATTTAGACTATTCATCCATCTCTGTAGCGCTAGAGCTTTTGTAGGGCTTTGGCTTTGTCTCACCACTTCCTCCCACTCAGAAAAATCCTTCCAATCCCTATGTCGCTACAATCCATGAGGCGCTTTGGACCGCCTCACCGCTTCCTTCCACCCGGATCATTCCTCACCCCTAAGGTGTTACAGCCCATGTAGGACTTTGTCCTCACCACTTTCTACTCAGCCCATCCATCCCTCCCGGTGGCGATGTAGCCCGTGCAGGGCTGTGGCCCGTTTGCCCACTTCCTTCCTCTCAGTCCTAACTGATGCTTTTCTTTTCCAAGCTTGGATTCGCAGCTGTTGTCGATTTTTTCCCCCACATCATTCATCCATCTAAGCCTATAGGTTTTCCTTTGAGCCGTTTTCCTCTGGGGTTTTGATGATGCACTCTCTTCACTCATTTGGCAAATTTTCCAGCTCAGCTTGCCCGTATTTATTTGTGCTACTAGCAGTGGGATCCTGATTTAGTCCAGACCATTCCCGAGTGGTTCCTATTCTCTATGCATATTAAGACTTTGTTGGTCCATATATTTTCCTTAAAAACTTTTCTCTCCCATGTGTTTAAATAGGTTCTTGTGATAGTTTATATTGCTAATACTTTATAAGTGTATTTACAACTGAGATAGATTTTTATAAATCGAGCTAACCTCGGCAAAAAAAAAAAAAAAAAAAAAAAGGAAATACATTCAGTATAATTATGCACAAGTACTGATAGAAAGAAAAAGAATCGCGCTGTATATAATCCACGGCAATACACAAGAGTCACATTTTACTACAGCTTAAAACAGGTTTACGCATGTGTTAAATAGGCTTCTACAGACTGATATATGTTTTAATAATGACATCATTATTGAAGAAAAACAATTTGAGAAACATTCAAAACGCCGACTAGTATGNAAAAACAAATTGAGAAACATTCAAAACCCCGCCTAGTTTTTTTACAATTTTCTTTCCCTTTTTTTCCCCCCCCCCCCCCCGATATTCTCCTCAGTTTGTAAAGCTGGGTTTCACGGTGCCTCCTGCTCCATGGCTTGTTCTGAGACGTGCTGTAATGGAACCTGTCATCACGTGACTGGTCAGTGTGACTGTTGTGTGTCAGGCGACGCGGACGAAAAGATAGAGGAAGGTAGGCGTATTGATACAAGTGGTGTACATTGGTAATTGAAGAGTTACAAGACACCCGACTGCACGGAAGGTGAGTACATCAATCACAGGGCTCAGTTTTAGGACCTATTCTGTTCTCCATGTATACTAGCCAGCTCGGCAAAATTATTGAAAGTCATGGTATTTCCCACAAAATATTTGCAGATGACACAGAACTGTACAAATGTTTCCGCCCTGATCCCTCGGGGTGTGCTGCTGCTTTTTAGGCTGTCGAGGACTGCTGTCTTGTTGTGAAAGAATAGATGCTATTAAACAGACTAAAATTAAACGATGATAAGACTGAGGCAATTATTTGTGGTTCAGACGCCAGTGTTCGGAAAGTTGCCACTGTATCAATACAAGTTGCTGAATCAGAGATCCCGTTGTCCTCGACTGTCAGAGACGTTTAACTTTTATATAGACAGTAAACTTAGTATGATTCCCCATATCACTTCTGTACTCAAGGCATGCTTCTGTCATCTGCATGCCCTGGGTCAGCTGCGTCCTCAACTCAATAGGAGAACAGCCAATGCTGTAGTGGTAACTCTACTCCTGTCAAGATTAGATTACTGCAACAGTTGTCTGTTGGGTTTACCTCAGAACCAAATTCAGAGACTCCAAAAGATATAAAATACTGCTGCACGCATGGGCACCCGCAAGGGGGGCAAGGGGGGCAGTTGCCCCCCCCCTGAATTATTTGGATACATTTTTTAAAGACAAAAATAGACAAAAAATATATTAAAATAAAGAGAAAATAAAGAGAAAGTAACTAAGCTGATGTCCTGTTCGTTCGTTCACCATACAAATACGCTACAGTAAACTAAACCTACATTAAAACATTGCTAAAACATTTTTGCGCCCCACCTGGAAAGTTAATCGATTTTTTTGGCCCCCCCCCCCTAGAAAGTTTTTTGCGGGCGCCCATGGCAGCACGTATTGTATCTCGGATGAAGAAATCTGATCATATCACCCCAGTTCTATGAGATCTTCATTGGGTTCCTGTGAGTGAGCACATTAACTACAAAATTCTGTCCCTGGCGCACAGCTGCATTAGATGGCTCAGCACCGGATATCTCAAAGAATTGATTTATAAACATGTATCCTTGAAGAGCCTGAGGTCTTCAACACAGTACTTACTGAGAGTTCCTACTATGAATGAACACAGAAAAAAGTCATACGGAGTGCGCTCTTTTGAAGCGATAGCGCCAAAATTATGGAACAGTTTGCCTCAATCTTTGATGGGAATTGAAAATGATAAAAATCATTTAAGAAGCATTTGAAAACTTTTTTGTTTAAATAGATTTCGGAAAACAAGAGCGTAGTGAGCATGCCATAGTGGCATGGATACAGACGCGATATAAATATCAAATCGATCAAAAAATCAAAAAAGATGCTTACAGAGTGTAAACATTTAACATTGCAGATCTTGGAATATCCAGACACGAAATAAAAGAGATTTCCTCCGATAAATCTGTTAGTATTCTCATGGATGAGATCGTGCTTTTTCGGACTCCTTACGCTTCTCAAAGTTCTTCAGTTCAAATAGTTCAGATATGTTTTAGATATTTCCTGTTATGCCTGCAGTGGCGTGCTTTTCAAAATTCCGCCCGGGGGGAATAACAATATTTCAACGCTAAAACAACACACAACCACAGCTATTACTTGATGCTGTAGCATTAACATCCCCAGCTTCTTTCTGGTAAATCACCCCCTTTGTACCAAGTATGTTTTTCGCTTGATTTCTCATACCTGCTCAAAGAAAAAATTCAATCCATGATAGTCACGAAAAATCTATCCAACATCCAGCGTGCCCACCCCATTTTTGGGGCGTACGCTGTCTGTCACGGTGCAGTGAGCGATGTTCTGGGTCAAGCTGTGACAGTGTGACAGGTCGATGTGTGAGTGGCTGTCAGATAGGTTACAAGGCACCCGACTGCACGGAAGGTGAGTACATCAATCACGCGTGCCTACAGAGTGTAAACATTTAATAATACAGATCTTGGAAGATTCAGACATGAAAAAAAAGAGATTTCCTCCGATAAAACTGTTAGTATTCTCATGGATGAGCTCGTGCTATTTCGGATTCATTACTCTACGGAAGTTCTTCAGTTTAAATAGTTCAAATATGTTTTTGGACATGACTGTGATTTCTGAAGTGACGCATTGTCCAAAATGATTCCAGGCGGGTATAAGAATATTTCGACCCTAAAGCAACAACAAAACACAATCAGAGCTATTACATTAAGCTTTAGTATTAAAATCCACAGCTTCTCTCTGGTGGATCTCCTCATTTCGTTCCAAGTAGACTTTTCGCTTGATTTATGATTCTTTCGCCCTCAAAACGCTTGCAAGAAATGCAAAGATTTTTTTTAGTAGTTTTTTTAACCATCTAGAATCAGAATGGCGTCGATTTTGCGAATAAAAAAAAAAACCAACTTCGTTATTCCACCAGTTTGCAATCCCGGCTATTACGGAGCCAACTGCACTCAGACTTGTCCTGCCAACTGTGCCAATGGTACCTGTGACCACGTCGACGGTTTGTGTGGTAAGTTTAAATCCAACAGTTGTGGGGAGGGAGAGAGGGTCATTTCTGACCGCGGCTAAAGCGACATCTCTTGAATGCAAGCAAAAGAATTAGTGAGCAAATACATGGCCTTTTTTTTTTTTTTTGCTTTTGTTTGAAAATTCCGTGAAAATCATCTTAATATAGACGACAAATAAACAATTTCAGTTTTAATTGACAGTAAAACAGAAAACCTTTTAACAATTTCCCCCCCCCCCCTATTTTAGCAAAGAACAACTACAAAACAAGCATAAAGACATACTAAAATGAAAGCCAAACTTATGAAATTATTTTAGGATTTTAAATTACGTGTTGATTTATATCCACTGATCCATCCAAACAGCCTATGTTAGGGCTTTGGCCTGCCTCACCACTTCCTTCCACTCAGATCTAACTTTATGCTTTTCTTTTCCATGCTTGGATTCCCAGCTGCTGTCGATCTTTTCCCCACAACATCCATCCATCTAAGCCCTTGAGCCGTTTTCCTCTGGGGTTTAGGTGATGCACCCTCTTCACTACTCTGTCATTTGGCATTTTTCCATTAGTCCAAACAATTCCTGGTTGGTTCGCATTCTCTATCCAAATGGAGCCTTTGTTGGTCCGTATATTTTCCCGACAACGTTTGTCTCCCATTGTGTTTAAATAGGTGTTTCTTCTGAGTTTGTCTTGCTCTATGACTAATAAAAATAAAGAATCCTCCATGCCAAAACTTTAAATAAAATTTTCTTATACATAATCAAATACTTCTCTATCTTTCTAGAATTAGCTTTTTTTCCGTTAAAGTTAATTTATCAGGGACTGCGTTCAAGCAATGTAATGTAAATAAATAGTGGAACAAGCTATGTTTGTTCTTGTTATAGTTGATAGTGCATAATTATGCACGATAACTGATAGAAAGCAAAAGCATCTCGCTGTATAAAACCCACGGTCAGACGCGAGCATCATACTTTACTACTTTACTACAGCTTAAAACATGTTTACACATGAGTTAAATAGGCTTCTGTAAACTCTGTTTTTTTTTTTTTTTTTTTTTTTTTTTTTTTTTTTTTTTACTTTTTTTTTTTTTTTTTTTTTTTTTTTTTTTTTAGCAATGACGTAATTGTTGACGTAAACAAGCTGAGAAACTCTCAACGCCGAAATGTAACTTCACTATTTTCTAGCCTCTTCCTCTTCTTTCTTTTCCTTTTTTCCCCCGATATTCTCCTCAGTTTGTAAAGCTGGGTTTCACGGCGCCTCCTGCTCCCAGGCTTGTCCTGAGCGTTGCTGCAACGGAACCTGTAATCACGTGACTGGGCAGTGTCCCTTTTGGGTGAAAGGTAGGCATTTCTATACAAATGGTGTACTTTGGACGTTAAAGAACTTTAAAATCATTAAGATCTTAGACATCTTCACTTGGTCCCAATCATAGTCATCTTCAATAGCTCCCAACCGCAGACAGTTTTACGTGAGGCCAATCACAGACATCTCAACTGCGTCCCAATCAAAGACATCTTCACTGTGTCCAAATCATAGAAATCTTCATTGGGTCCCATTTATGCCCTTTTAAGAGAAAATCTCTATATAGAGAAAAATATTTTAGTGGCGGGGAAGATATGGATAGTGGCAGGGAAGTTGTGGATAGTGGCGAGGGAAGATGTGGATAGTGGCAGGGAAGAAGTGGTAGTGGCGACGGAAGATGTGGATAGTGGCGACGGAAGATGTGGATAGTGGCGGAGAATACACAAGCTATTTCGTCTTATTTAAAAAAAAATGTTTTCACATATTTGTAAATTATAACCCCCCCCCCAACCCTATTCTTTGAAGTTACTTTAATACCCCCCCCTTTTTTTTTTGCCCTTCCATACTTAATTTTGCCTATAAAACAAACATAAAAGAATGATGATTGAATTATGTTCTGCCCCCTTCACAGATCGTGTAGATCAAAACTCTACATGTATTAAGCGTGAACAGACTACGCCAGACACATTGATCAGGGATTTTCTCATTGCCCTTTTGATCTTCTCCCTCGCTGGTAATATTCTTTGCGCTGCCGTGATGTACGGGCCAAGATTCAAACAGAAATGGGATGTCAAGACGGCCGATCAGTTGAAAGGCGACGGGCAAAAGGCTGGGAGCGAAGACGTGGATTTAAGTCAGAGAGGATTCTTAACGAAGGCTATTTCAGAAGGAGATGTGGATAATCGCAGGGAAGATGTGGATGTGGGCAGGGAAGATGTGGATGTGGGCAGGGAAGTTGAGGATAGTGGTGGGCGAAGATGTAGATAGTGGCTAGGAGGACTTCGAGAGTGTCAGGGGAGTTGTGGAAAGTGGGGGGGGGGAAGATGTGGCTAGTGGCGGGGTAGATGTGGATAGTGGCTGGGAAGATGTGGGGAGTGGGGGGGGNGATGTGGCTAGTGGCGGGGTAGATGTGGATAGTGGCTGGGAAGATGTGGATAGTGGCGGGGAAGATGTGGATAGTGGCGAGGAAAGATGTGGATAGTGGGGGGGGAAACTGTGGATAGTGGCGAGGGAAGAGGTGGATAGTGGCGAGGGAAGCTGTGGATAGTGGCAGGGAAGTTGTGGATATGGGCGGGGATAATGTGGATAGTGGCTGGGAAGATGTGGATATTCGCGGGGAAGATGTGGATAGTGGCGGGGACGATGTGGATAGTGGCGGGGAAGATGTGGATAGTGGCGGAGAAAATGTGGATAGTGGCGGGGGAAGATGTCGATAATGGCGGAAAAGATGTGGATAGTGCCGAGGAAGATGTGGATAGTTGCGGGGACGATGTGGATAGTTGCTGGGGAGATAATGGCTAGAAATTTGCATTGAACAACAAAAAAAAAACAGCAACGTTATAATTAGAAGCAAAGAATATGTATAAATTATTCATTCAAATTTAAAACTTATGGGTTCCTTGGGGAACTCACATAAAAATGAATGTGTCCATCTCAAATATTTGTGTACATGTTTGAATGGAAATTCAATGAGGAAATCAATTTTAAACTGTTGGGTGCATGGGGGAATTCAAATTTAATGAAGGAGCCCGTCGGCCTGGAAAAATGAATTTAAAGAAAGAAGAAGAAATAGTAGAATAAGGGACTGGATGGTGCAATGCGCTCTTTGTGCATCGGATCAGGTCAGGTTCCGTATTGGCTTCATCAAAAGACCACGGCAACGTCTTCCTTGTCGGGTCACCTTAATTCTTAAAAAACCAATGCTGGTTTTATTCGGAAATCAGATGGTTGATTGTTCGGTAACTTGACTTTCTTGGTTATTGCTTCAGTTAAGTGCTATGGATTATTATCCTTGCTATTCACTGTTGAGTGTTTTTTAAATACTCATAAAATACATGTGATCAATATTTCTATGCAGGATAATGTCATAGTACATTTAAGAACTGGTGGTTTACAACATTTGTTACCAACGTGCATTTAAGAACTGGTGGTTGACAATATTTGTTACCAACGTGCATTTAAGAACTGGTGGTTGGCAATATTTGTTACCAACGTGCATTTAAATTTAAGAACTGGTGGTTGGCAATATTGGCTACCAACGTGCATTTAAATTTAAGAACTGGTGGTTGGCAATATTTGCTACCAACGTGCTTTTAAGAACTGGTGGCTGGCAATATTTGTGACCAACGTGCATTTAAGAAATGGTGGTTGGCAATATTTGTTACCAACGTGCATTTAAGAAATGGTGGTTGGCAATATTTGTTACCAACGTGCATTTAAGAACTGGTGACTGGCAATATTTGTTTACTAAACTAAAATCAAATCACATAGTTTGATGTGCTATTAAAGTAATGTAAACTAAAACTTATAGTCAAGTATTTGGATGTGCTGTTTTTGTAGACTTCAACATTCAATATGTATTGTTATCAACTTGCACTTTAGAACTGATGGTTGGCGATTTTTTCACGGACTTGCATTTAAAGACTGGTTCTAAAAAAAGGACCGCATTTTTGCAGGAATTGGAATAACTTGATACAAAAATTTATTCATTGATACTAGCAGTCAATAAATTCTAATTAAAGTGCATTAATAACTGGTGCTTAATAATTTTTGTCAACGATATAGATTTAAAAACTAGGTGCTAGTAGCACACATTTAGGTACACGAAGTTCACATGCACAGCTATTGATGTACTGTTACTGTTAAATGTTATTTTAAAAAAAAAATGATGTTCTGCTAGTTACTGTAAACTAAAACATTTAGTCCAGTATTTTGATCTGCTGTTACTGTCGACTAAAAACATTCATTTAAATATTTTACCTCTTATAACACTTGGTAGAATAAGATATAGATTTTTATAAGAATGAGCTATACTGACGTACCGCAAAGAACCTATACTATTTAAGTACTTTCGGATTCCTACAAAATATCACAGTTATTTTATATTACTTTACAGAAATGGTATTTAAATGTGCAAACAATTTGTTTAAATTCGCTTTTATTTTAGTAAAAGTTTAATTATTATTACTATAAATTACAAATACGATTGATGGCAATATCTTTAAATCAAAAGATATTACAATTGTCAAAAAATAAATTCTAAACTCTTATTTTACCAATTAAGAAAATCAATGACGTTTAACAAAACGTAAGTACATTTACACAATTCTACCCATCAATATCAAACCCATTCATCATTTTACACAAACGAACATTTAATTTTCAAATTAGTAATAGAAATGGGTTAAGACTTTCTTAGATAGATAGATAGATAGATAGACAGATAGACAGATAGATAGATAGATAGACAGATAGACAGATAGATAGATAGATAGATAGATAGATAGATAGATAGATAGATAGATAGATAGATAGATAGATAGATAGATAGATAGATAGATAGATAGATAGATAGATAGAAGGATGGATGGATGGATGGATGGATGGATGGATGGATGGATGGATGGATGGATGGATGGATGGATGGATGGATGGATGGATG